GCCCCTCCGCGACGTCTCCTCAGCAATTTCTACTCCAACACTACTCCCAAGGCCGCAGAACAAAGTGTAGTGTTGACTCTGACAAGGAAAAGCAGCGGTGATCACTTGTCACTCCAAACGACAAGCTTCTCCTTGCGCCACCAATAAATTTTTGTGCGACTGTTGATGCAAAAGTGACTGAAGGCCTGAGCGCAGTTTTTGAATCTTATTGCAAGATGCACGATGAGATCGCGTGCTCTGTGACGTAGGATGACGCTTCCTGCATCACGATACGCGGCCATCGATCGCGAATGTGCCTGGAACGCTACTCGGAACAGACCATGATGGCAGAGGTAAGATGAGCTTCATTTCCTGCTTGAACTGCTGAGAACCCCCACAAACTGTCCTATGAGTGTTGCAATGGCAGCAAGCCGTTGAAATAATTATGCCCCTCGTACAGCATGGAGAGTTATTCGTCTTTCACACTTACCTCCTGCAATCCCGAATATAGTCCAACAGTAAAGTCCCTTGTTTTCATGTCGATGCTCGACAAAAGCGGCTAGCTCGGTCCCTTTGTGTTGACTGGAACGCGAGTAGCACTGGCTGCACGCACTTGTTGCGTGAACTGCATGAGAGATTTCTTACGTCATAAAGAATGTGATTTCATCATCATTTCACTGGTCTTCGACCTACATGGTCAGGGAAAGTCCCGGTTCGTAGGCCTACAACACGGTCAGCGTGTTCTTGAGCGCAGTAACAACAGAAGTGTGATCACTTCCAGACCAACGGGCGTTCAAGGCGAGTAACAAGCGCACTTGACAAAGGTGACTCTGAAATCTCGTGAGCCGTGATCCACGCGACTTGGCATTCTTGCGTCACAAGGCACGTGATTTCACCGTGCATCTTGCAATAAAATTCAAAAACTGCGCTCAGCTGATCAGGCCTTCAGTCACTTTTGCATCAACAGTCGCACAAAAATTTATTGGTGGCGCAAGGAGAAGCTTGTCGTTTGGAGTGACAAGTGATCACCGCTGCTTTTCCTTGTCAGAGTCAACACTACACTTTGTTCTGCGGCCTTGGGAGTAGTGTTGGAGTAGAAATTGCTGAGGAGACGTCGCGGAGGGGCGAGCTTTCCTGCGCAGGTATGACTTTGGCCGTATTTCAGCATGGTCGAGTGGAAAAATTCAAAAAAGTTTATTTCAAGAAAACCCCAAAAGGAAGATGGGGGACATGTCCTCAGCGCTAGAAGAGGTGTTCTACTATCTGCCGGTGTATAGTTCTGGCCAATTGAGGACGTAGCTGGCTGTTTTGCCAGCGCTTGTAAATTGGCTATTTTCAAGACGATCATTTGTGGCGTCAGGGGGTGATGGACCTCGTCTTCTGGGATGCTGGCGTGGCTAAGCGGTACTGCTCCAGGAACTCTTCTAAGGTGAGGCAATGTTGGCTTGATGGAGTTTTGTTCATAGCTTGTTCGTATACGCTGTGGCGTGACTCGTTTCTAGACCCATAAATAATGTGATATTTCGGCCATTTTTGAGGGGTATGCAAATTTCACGGTTCCCTTCAGAAACTTTTTCAAGGGCTTTGCACGAGCGATCCACACCCCAAAGGGAACCTTCCTGCAAATTTTGAGCGAAATCGGAGAGATCCACTTGCACACATACTTTGGTATTCTCAGACATGCTCTCTTAACATTTCTCCACCAATGAAAATACCGTGAGCGCACGCCTACCACGAGAACAATGGAACAATATGTAAGGAGTTGAACGTCATTTTCATAATTATGATAATAATCAGAAATTGTCATCACACTAAGAATTGGAACAGAAAGGAAAGATGCTTGTCACATCACTTACACTCTTCGAATATCATACCAACACCCACATACCCACTCACATGCATGTACCTTTCTCACCTGGATTTCTCTAATCCACACTTTTCACACTGCTCGTTGGTCATGTAATCACACCTTAAATAGTGCTAGCTTTAGAAAATGAGTATTTCTTGTATTAGTTTTAGTTCTAATAATAGGAATGGGTTTGCTCCCACACTGGAGCTCGCGCTATTCCACTGACTTCACTTGACACTTGACTGACTCGTGACCGCCATCCACAGCACACGATAAGTCCATCGAACCTTGGACTCAGCAAATCTGCAAGAAAGCACCACTCCCTGCTCAATACACAGTGTTTCGGGGATATCACCCCTCAACAGTTCAGCTTGAGCAGGCTGAGGAAGCTATTGTGCCTGAAGAGCACCACTTATATAGTGCTCTACGGGTGCAAACATCACCAGGGATACAATCTCACAGACACGTTCCGTTTCCAGCGCGACAAACACCTCATGAACACCAAATAGCAGCGTGAGTCAGTGTGGCTCCAAGCAAACTAGCAGCGCAATCGAGTTGAATCTGCTGATCATTGCCATGGTTCATCCATGAGCACTAACATATCTCTCCAGGATACAGCCACGGAGGTAGCTCCTAGCCCCAGGTTCTGGGCGGTGCTCTTCAGAGCACGACTGGCAGAGTTGTGCATGGCCTGCCCCTCCAAGTAGGCTCAGTGGATGGCTTGAAGTAGGAGCACAATGAGAGGTTCGCGGGCGCACTCCGGTCCAGCCGCAGCACGTGCCCAAACAGACGCGAGGGGGCTCCTTGGACGGAGATACCAAGACAGTGCTGTTGAGTTTGTCCTCTTGTAGTAAAGTAAAATTTGCACGTCCGCGTTACGGAGGTCGTAAGTCTCACAACCAATGCCCGACAAGGGGGTTAACCTCGTTAGCTGCATCCATGTTACCCTCACTCCCAGTAGTGAGTACCCAGTTGACCTTGAGTGTCGGCGCAGTTCACTGCATATAAAGTGGTTCACGCTTGCATCACCGCATTTGCTAGCACAGTACTAGCTCCATGCTCCCAGCGCCGGTCTCGAACTCAGGACCTTGTGATTCGCAGGCAAGCCCACAACCACTCGGCCAAAGCGCTGGTACTCTTGTACAGTGTGTTATTCTTGATCTTAGATGGGCACTGTATGCCAATACCTTTGCGCAGTTGTTGTCTGTGGAACGCATCAACTCTATGCATAGCGATGCCCTTGAGACCCATAGTCCCGTTGTTATAGAACAGGACTAACAAGACGAATACCTTGTACAGCCGTACTCTAAACGATTCGTTTACAATCGAACTACGTATCCACATTGTGACAATGCCCAGAGCCGGTGCAGGGCAGCAGCAGCACTGCAGTGAGTTACATTCTCCACGCAGCATCCTCGTGGTCACCAATGAGGGAGTCCAGCTTCCTAGCGAGGCGCCAATCTTTGCAAACTCTGTCTTTGGGCCGTATGATGTTTGTGAGTTCTGTTTTAGACTCCTTGATGTTGTGGTCACAGGCTTCGAGGCACTTTGCAATGTCGGGTAGGAGCTCTTGAATACGTTTGCAGTCAGACGATAGGAAGTCGACATCGTCGGCGTGCTCTGTATCAGTTGGTAAGCCGAACCTGACATCTAGGTCGGGACTTGCGCAGCTAATCTGTCTCACCTCCTGAAGCACTGCGTCGAGGTAGATAACGAGAAGGGCAGGTGATAGTGAGTCGCCCTGTGGTGTCCCTTGTGTGGTCTGGAACTGCTCGCTCTTCCCTACAGGTAACAGGACCTCAAGAGACGTGTTCTTGAGTAGGTAGGAGATAATGGTGACCTCATCATTCTCAAGAAAGCTAGCTGATATATTGAACAAACGGTACCTGAATATTGTGTCGAACGCTTTCGACATGTCTATGCTGAGCATGCCAAGTGATTCCTTCACTCGTTTGCACCGTGCCGCGATCCATCTGTCGGACCATACTACATCAGCTGTACTTTTACCACTGCGGAAGCCACTCTGGTTCGGAGACAGGAGCATGTTGACAGCATGGCTGATGAGATTTTGGGCAATGATAAACAGCACCTTCCTAGGTGCAGTGAGAAGCACAATGAGGCTGAGGTTCGATGGTGGACCTTTAGGCTTCTCACGCTTCTGAAATGGGAGTTCAGCAAGTAGGTCGTTCCGTCCAATCGATCTGCCGTTATTTAGGCGTCGTGCTGCTGACCTGACTTCTGCCTCGCCACTAGTAATCGGTATCCCAAGAGGTTTCTTCTCTTGGCGTAGAGGTGCGCAGCTCGAATCAGTGAACGCTGCTGAGAAGTAATTTCCGATTATTGAAGTTGACTCCATCGGGTGAAGGACGAGTTTCCCTTGGGCAATATTCACCACTTTTGGCGACTTCTTTTTACGCTTCGGTAGATGCACAGCACGGAACATCTGGGCTCCGTCGTTTTGATTTTCAAGTTCACGACCCTTTTCCTCTAGCAGGCAGGCATAGTGGGATGGTCTAAGACCATGATTGAGAAACATAGTGTACCAGGTTCAAGTCCTGCTTGGAAGCGGAAGGATGTTTTCCAGCCGTGCTGCGACCCACAGTTAATGGGGAACTCGTGGCCTGTCACGAGGAAAACATGGATACAGTGAATGGGATTTTCGGTCTTTGACCACATGCTGGTGAGCTGATGGACTCACCTCCCATCGCTTTAGGAGCTGCATCTGTGCCTTGATCCTTGAAGGGCGTTGGCGTTCCTACGGATGTGGAAAACTCGGCCTCTTTATAGAGAAACCGAGTCTCAAGCGAACCGTGAATTTTTTCATCTAGATTGCTGGCTGCATTTGCACAGCCATGTTGGCGGGTCATGTGGGAGAGTTTGTTGCGCTGTTGCTTCAGGATGTTAACTTCATGGGCTTTCTTTTCATAAAGATTAGGTGTCTCAGTCCACACTTCTCACAGGACATTTTTAGCATGTCGGCGTCCATGATCCACTTCCCACCTCTTTTTCCAAGTTTGTGTGCTTTTAATAATAAAAAAATTCGAAAAAACACTGTCTTGTCCCTCACAACTATAAACAGTCGGTTCAAGTCCTGAGATCGTAGTTGGAAAACAAACTTTTGCATGATTGATGTTGAAACCTGTAATGTGCTATGTTTTCTCTCCTCTAGCAGATATTGAAATCCAATCGCTATACACACTTGGCACAGTTATCGGCGGTGTTGTAGGTGGGATGGTTTTCGGGTTCATAGCAGCAACTTTGGTTGCCATAATAGTCTATCGGAAGATACAAAACAAGCCGGTCAAGACCGAAGTTCCAAGTCCGACACAAAATGCAGCCTATGAAGATGCTAACATTGTGGAGAGTTCACTCACCAAAAGTGATGCTTATGGTGTCGTTGAATCCTCCCCGCAGCCACAGTATGAATTTGTTTGCCCGTAGTAACTGACTGTGCGCATTCATTTCGCCCTTGTAGTTTGGTGAGCATCTCTGTATAGTCACAGGTGTACGTGTATAATGTGCCTTATTCTCTGTATCAGTGCCAATCTCTTACAGAACAATCTTCCATGCCTAACCTTGTGCATTGTTTGAAAAAGCCTCCTAATCAAGTTTTTTGTAATTCCTCAGGTCGGTGCACTCTGCACTCTATCTCGTCCTTTCTCGTCTTCTATCTTCACAGAATTGTTACTTTGGTGAATTTCCTCTGGGAATGCGCTTTTGATTACGGAGAGGAAAGCTAACATGACTTTCAATTTGGACTTTTTGCCTTGCTGCTCAAGTAGTAAGGCTCATAAAACGAAAACACGCCCACCCCCACACTCAAAGTTTCCTGTATTAATCACGTCATTAATAATTATAATAAACTCCATCGGGTAAATCTTTTCTTTCGCTATACATGATAAACGGCTTGCCTTTGTCCTCAATATTATCCATATCTGCTTCCATTTCTCAGTTGTTTTCCTTTTCTTTTCGAAATCGTACTCTTTTCCTTGCCAGTGGTCATTGGCTTCCCCAGCCACGTATCGCTTGAATTAAAACTAACTACATGTAAAACCCTAATCGTTTAGTCCTATTTCTAGTCCATGTTTTTTTCTTCTTTTTTGCCATTCCTACACCACATTATCTTGCTAGTTTACATTGCATATTTCGCATTGTGTAACTAAAAGTTTCTCCTAGATGTTTCACATTCTCACACGGAAAGCTGGGTGTGGTCCTCGGAAGAGTGCTCAATGCACCAGATGCAGAGCTTCATACAAAAAGTATCACATTCTCTGCATTTATCAACATGTCTCCTATTGTGATGTATTTTCCAAAATGACTATCGAAAGAAACGTCCGTGCAAAACCTTTTAAAGGTTAAAAAAACTGTAACAGTTTTGCTTTAACCCAGATGGGGATCCAATGAAAAGATTAGTTGTAACTTTGAAAAAGATGGGCAAAAGTTACGCGACCCGGCCCATCAACTGGACCGGATTTGAACAACCAGACGTGCATAATGTAGCGCAAAACTCCTAAGGAGTACTGAGACATTCCATGGCATGGAAGTCAGCTTGAGCACTATTCGATAGTGCTAACCAACGGCCTTCCAACTGGGAAGGGTGATGAACATTAGTGTTAATTCCAAATAAGGGAAGGTAAGCGCTATCGTGCTGAGCGCGAGTGACATTCGAAGGCTTCATGGAATCCTGGCCTGGTGCGATAACGGGATGGCAAGACCAGACAGAACGGTCAAACCACAATTCGACAATGCAAAGCAACAACCACCCAACAGTGGAGATGCTCAATATTATCAGAGCACGTTGATTGGTTGATTTTTATTTCACGGATCCTCCAGAGGCAAATAGATGCCTATCGAAGGGAGTCTCCTATATAAGTATGGAAAATGAGAAAGTATGTTCGTAAGGGAGAAGAGGTAGAAGATACATTAGAATATAGAGTGCAGAAGAAGTAAATTCAGTACTTCGGGTAGTACATTGCATGCTAATCATAATGAGAATTAGAAAAGCAGCATTGCGGACTACTATAACTGACATATACACAAACTATTGAAACTATCATAGATGTGGTTAGCCTAGACACAAAAGTCAGGAATACCTTTCAAAGAAAACATAGATTGCGAATGATACCGACGAACAGCGATACTAAATTCCGCTGTTGTAGAGAGTGAACGAATATCTTCAGGAAGTTTATTCCAGGCAACACTCAAAGAAAAAAGGGTTTATTTACGAAAGAAGGTGCCAGCTTTAGGAAGAATTATGGATGAAGGGTGACGACTGCTTTGGGAAGAGGGTAGCTGGAAGTGAGACAACAAGGAGGGGTATTGGGAGAATACATGGTGGAAATAGACAAGGCCAAGAATCTGCCGTCGCCATGCTAACGATTCCCAAGAGGACAGAACATTGAGGTCTTCTTTGGAAGTCGTCCAGTCAGGCCGACGCTTGAGTTTACTATTTAAGTATGCTCTAGCAGCAGTAGCCTGCAGTTTATCAAGGGTTGTGGACATGGTGGCTGAAACGAAAAAACATCCAAACGGGAACAGCATATTCAAGGAGGGGACGAACATAACATTTATACAAAAGATTCACAGCAGGAAAAGGAAGGAAGTTGGACATGTGGTTTAAAAGAAAAACCCGACCTCGAAATTTGCTGGTAATGTGTTGAATATGGGGGGACAGATTGAGTGAAGGAGTGAGGATGATGCCCAGATGGCGGTGGGAAGAGGGCTGAGTCAGTAACGTACCGGCCATGGTGACGGTCCTGGGATCAGGTGGGTTTGATTTAGGTCTGCAAAAGGGAACATGGACACATTTGTTAGCATTGGAAACTGCTTCAGCTTTATGGGACCAGTTCACACATCTATCAAGGTCTAGTTGCAGGGAGGCAGTGTGCGCGGCGGGTACGACAGTAGGCGGAGAAACGCAGACCATGTTGGAATCATCCGCAAACAGAGTCAGATCGCTGGACTGGGGAATGCTGGGAAGGGAGTTGATAGAAAGGTTGAATAATAGAGGGCCTAGGTGGGAGCCTTGTGGCACACCAGCGGTGAGCGACATATGGGTTGATAAGGAGGTTCCGACCCGCACAGACATCGATCGGCCTTCCAGGAAGTCCATCAGCCACGCGAATGAGTCAGGTGCACACCAACCGGACAGACATGAGGCTAGGAGGCGATGGCTGGTACGATCAAATGCCTTCGAGAAATCGAGAAAGACGGCATCACACTGGGCCCGGTTATCAAATGCAGAGCTGACAGTTGATGTGATATGCAAAAGTTGGTCAACCGTGCTTCGGTGGTGGCGAAACCCGAACTGTTTCGGCGACAGTAGTTTGTGTTTCGCTACAAACGCGTACACCTGGCGGCTGATTAACGCTTCGTAGCATTTTGCCACACCATTCAGCAGAGATATCGGCCGGTAGTTAGCAGGGTCATTGCGACTTCCCTTACCCTTGTAAATTGGGGTAACGATTGCAACTTTCCACTCAAGGGGTTGGGATCGGTAAGTGGTGCAGCGGTTAAAGAGAGCAGTGAGGGATTGGGCGAGCACTTCTGCTGTCTCTCGTAGGATCCTGTTAGGAAGACTGCCAGCTGTAGACTTTCGCACACTTAGGGTCGACAGTGCCTTGAATACTTCCACGATAGACAGAGGGCGGATGGCAAATGTTTCCGAAGAAGAAGGCATGGCGAGATCACGATGATCTGCATCCGACGACGGTGTAGCTTGACTATTCTTGGCGAACTGTTGACAGAAGATGTTCGCTTTCTCAGGGTCGGTAACTGCTAAGGTATCGACTCCTTGTATATCAGGTATAGCGGTGTGAGGACAATTGATGTGGCACATTTTCTTGACTCTCTTCCACCAGTCATAAGATCCTCGATCTGCATGAAGGCCTTCTGACATCTGGTCGTAGAAGTGACGTTTAGCTTTACGGATGGCAGCGACGAGGCAGTTCCTTGAAATGCGATAAGCAGCCCAGCACTCAGGGGTATTGACACGTTTTGCTGCAGCAAATAGTCGATCTCGACGTTGACGGAGGCGATGGTGCACAGAGGTGAACCAAGGCTTTCCATAACGATTTGTTCGTTTTCGAACCTTCGGAACAAAAGATAATATGGCTGTGTCAACTAGTGTTCGCCAGGAGACCCATGCTTCATCTGTACTACTGGCTTCTTGTACAGCAGCGAGAAGAGGGAGGCTCCAAAGGTGGTTATTAAGTGCGGGCCAGTCTGTGGCTGCATAGTTGTTCACGAGCAAATCAGAGTGCACTGGTTGCTGGGAACGAGTCTGTATTGCGAGATCAAATACCACAGGACAGTGATCAGAAACAGGGGGAAGTGTGGTGAGGTTGTGGATGAGGAATGGTTGGTTACAAAGAACAAGGTCAAGGAGAGAAGAGCTCTGACCTGCGGCGGAGAAACGTGTTGGGCGGTCGCGTACAAGTTGTGTAAAACCAGTATCATCCAGCAGTTCGACAAGGCATCTTCCAGCAGCAGTGTTCGGGTCCTGCCTATACCATTCGTTGTGCCGAGCATTAAAGTCACCGAGGATGATAATGGAAGCCGTAGTGTCCGTAATGGAAGAGATGGACTCACGCAAGCCAGAGAGGAATGTTGAATGATCCTGCCTTGGTGGCCGATAACAGCAGAAAATATAGACATCTTTGTGGCCATTTATAAGTTGAATGCATAGGATTTCAAGGTTGGTGTTGGCAGGCTCGAGGTCTGCTCTTCTGACGTAGGCGAGTCCTGGTCGGAGTAAGAAAGCAACACCACCGCCACGCAGAGCGACATGAGATGGGCGGTCTCTTCGCACTATGTCAAAAGCGGCAGTTGGCAATAATACAGAGTTAGGAATTTTCTGAGTTAGCCAGGTTTCGGTGATGCCTAATATGTCCATGTCTGAAGTACCAAATATGTTATTAATTTCATCGGCCTTTGGATACCAGCTGCAAGCATTGGTTGTGGCTAGCCGCATATGATGGGGATGTTTGTTTGGTATGAAGGCTGAGGTATCGTATGGTGATGGGAGAGTGAAGGTAGGTGCATCTGGGTTCAGTTGCCCTGACACACTGTTAGATGATGGTGTCGATGTGGTCCTAGTGGGAAAAAAGACGTCTGACTGTTCAACATTTGATTTAGTTGATACTGTTTGAGCCATAACAAGCGAAAATAGCCCTTACGGTCAAAGTTTTCAAAATTCCTTTTTGGTTAGAAATTTGTTGAAACACATCTACTGAAGGACCTCAGCCAAGAAAAAGTTCAATATTCCGATTCAAAACGGGTGTATACACCAATATACAAGGTGTACTCCAAATTGGTGCAATGTATGTGTACGATGTATGTGTACAATAAATATTCAGCATTCTAAGGTGGGTACGCAGCTTGAATACCTTTGAAATAGTGCAGTAAGCAGCTAGAATGACAAAGAATAGCTGAAGATTGCGGAGACATGATTGACTTATTTGCAGCTGCATCCTGCGTGGTGGTGTTCCGCAATGTCTTCCATTTCTTCCTCCGCAGCTGACGACACGACGTCGCTGCCGTCACTAGCCACAGACTCAGAATTTATCTTAGGTGATAACTCCTCATCTTCCGACTCTGACGAGTCATTGACCACCTTGAGCCGCAACGCAGCAGGAGATGACGCTGATTGCGGCTCATTTATTGAATCTCAGCATAAGACAACCCGACTAAACTAAGCCGTGAACACTATAGGAGCAACACAACGTATTTTCCAATGATCCAGAGCGGCGGGATGAGGTGAAAGCTGAGCACATAGATAAGAAGAGCATGAGTTGACGAATAAGTTGTTAAGTGTTAGTATAATAGTAATGCGTTAGGTGTGGCATGAACAATTATTGTAGTGATGTATCAGGGCGTGTAGAGGAAAACTATTACACTATCCCTCAGCAGGCAGGCAACTATAGCTCTACGTGCAGGTAGAAGAACTTATTATAATAAATATTCGAATGTATCTTCTAGAATGAAACAGAACGGTGAATGATGAA